CCTCTGTCCCCCGAAAGCGCTTGCCTCCGCCATTCCTTCTCTAACCCTTCTCCCCATTCTCTGTTTTGAATCCTTGTTGCTCTTTCAGAGGAAGGATCTTTTGGCACAAATGGGTCTTGATTCTTCTGAGGCAGAGAAGACTCCGCTGGACGCCAGAGTGAGGCCTCTGGGTAAGGAGGAAGGAGTGTTTTCTCCCCCGTTTTGTCACATTCTCTTGGTTTCGAAACTAATCTGTGAGTTCTTTACATCTTTTAGGGGAAGACACCTGGAGCCCAGAGCTCGGGGGGGGGGGAGAGATGTATTTTTGCACAACCAATATATGAAATGGGTACAAATGAGTCCAAATGTACTCAGCTGGGAAGACTTTTACTGCAGCTGGTTCAATTCCACAGTTTATTATCTCTTCCAGCAATGCCTGTACATTAGTCCAAATTGAGCTCTGATTGACAGGAGAACCTCTGCTTCTTAATGGCGGCGAAGAAGGGTTTTCGGCAGGCCAAGGGCTTTTGCACTCAGCGCCTCCCTGCCTCTCGCAATCCATGCCGGAGCCGGAACGTGGTACCGAGACGAACTGGGAGTGAAGCCCGTTCCCCCCGTCCCTGGGGGAAACGTGCAAGGAGAATTACCCTTAGTCATCCTTGTTTTTCCTTTGCCAACGATCTCCCGCTGCCTCCATTAAAGCAGAGCGGAACCGGAAGCTAGCAGGGGAGACTTTGACAAGCCCCATCTGTACTTAGAGATGGACTGTTTCACCTCTGAGAGAAGCAGACGCTCACGGTTTCCACTTACCTTGGTCTCTCCCAGGTGACGGAATGATGCCACCAAGACCTGCTCCTTCATCTTTTCATGGTGGTGGAGGGGAGGCAGCAGCTGTGGACCCAGATCAGGTAGGGGGAAGGAGCGCTGGGATGCAGACTGGCTGGATGCAGAGGAATGGTGGGAGGAGCCAGAGAAGAGGGAGCCGACTGGGAGGAGGAGGAGGAGGTGTCTGAAGCTGGAGAGGGAAGAGGGCTCAGGGAGCAGAGGGAGTCTGTGGCAGAGAGCAGCCCAGACTCCGAGGCAGAAGCTGCAGCAGGAGAGAGGAGGGATGAGGAAGGCAGAGAGGGGTCTGGACGCTGTAGAAAACAACAGAGCCAAGTGAATGTTCTCTAAGAGGACAGCCTTTTTCCTGTTCTGTTAGGGTCCAGTGTGCTTTGAAGATGTGGCTGTCCATTTCACAGACGAGGAGTGGGCGTTGCTGGATCCTGACCAGAGAGCTCTCCATAAGGAAGTCATGGAGGAGAATCGTGGGATCTTGGACTCTCTCGGTAAGGTTCCCTATTGGATCATCCTATCTGTTTTGTAATGCAAGACATCTCTCTATGTGACGAACCTCTGATATTTTGATGGGGCTCAACAGCGCCACCCACAGCGCCTGGGATGTTAACACTCCCACAGCAAACCTTGGATGGATGGCTATTGATTGTTTTTCCTGTGAATATTCTTCCTCCAGTTCTGCCGCTTAAAACCATGATCAGGCTGTCTGGACTGCCCAGGCCTTCTTAAATGTAGGATTCAGAGTGATTTGGGATGTTGAAGTAGCTTCAGTCAAGTTTCCTGCTTTTGTTCTTGCTTCTGTCTCTCTCTGGTTGACCAAAGAGTCGCTTGGCATTGGAGATGGCACAGATTCCACGACTGAACTAAACAAACTCCATCCCAAAACAGAGCCAGGCTTTTTGAATCTCAGGCAGTGAACCCTGTAGTAACAATAATTATAATTTTTTAGTTACAGGTAGGTAGCCGTGTTGGTCTGCCATAGTCAAAATAAAAAAGTTCCTTCCAGTAGCACCTTAAAGACCAACTAAGTTAGTTCTTGGTATGAGCTTTCGTGTGCATGCACACAGGTGTATCTGAAGAAGTGTGCATGCACACGAAAGCTCATACCAAGAACTAACTTAGTTGGTCTTTAAGGTGCTACTGGAAGGAACTTTTTTATTTTGATAATTATTATTTTTTTGCATTCTCTTTATTAATTTTCATTACACACCAATACACACAAGACAAATTCATCACAAACAAAAAATAAACCAAACAACACGGCTAAATAGAAAAAACGAGCTAAGAACAAAAAACATCATATAACTAATTGACTTCCCTCCACCTCGGTTTTGGGTTATATAATAAAGGATTTTTTCCGCAGTTTATCTTTAAGACTTCTGCACATCGGAGGGTTATATTTAGCCTACTGTGATCTTTAGATTTTTTAAATCTGCTTCAATATATGTTATGAATTTATTCCATTCCTTAATAAACTTTGTTTCTTTCTGATCTCTGATTTTTTGTGTTATTTTTACCAATTCTAAGTATTCGAATAGTTTACTTTGCCAATCTCTTACCGTTGGGATACTAATTGACTTCCAATTTTGTGCTATTAATATTCTAGCAGCTGTTGTTGCGTACTGGAATAAAGTCTGGTCCTCTTTCTTAATTTCATTACCAATCATCCCCAGAAGGAAGTTTTCCGGTTTTTTAACAAAAGTGTATTTGAACATTTTTTTAAATTCATTATAAACAAGCTCCCAAAACTTTTTAATTTTTTTGCAGGTCCACCACATGTGGCAGAAACTTCCTTCCTTATTTTTGCACTTCCAGCACATTTTGTCTCCAGTCTTATAATTTTTTTCTAATTTTACAGGGGTGATGTGCCATCTGTACATCATATTTTCCATGTTTTCTCTTAGTGCGACACACGCTGTAAACTTCATATCTTTATTCCAGAGCTTTATCCAACTATCATATTCCAAATTATATCCCAGGTCTATCGCCCATTTCACCATGACTTCTTTTATCTCCTCGTCCTTAGTATCCCATTCTAACAATTGCTTATACATTTTTGATAAAAGTTTTGAATTTCCTTCCAATATTTCTATCTGAAATCTGGATTTTTTTTCCGTTCATCCCAATCATTTTATCTTCTGTCCACAGTGTGTTAATTTGATGGAATTGTAACCAACTTGTTAATTTATCTCCTAATTCTTCATAAGTTTTGATTTTCCAACCTTTCTCTGTTCTAACCATCAAGCCTTCATATGTCCATCTTTCACCATCTAGATTTACTTTTTTGGTTGTTAAAATATCTATTGGTGACAGCCACCAGGGAGTGTTTCTTTCAAGTAAATTTTTGTTTCTGTCCCATATCAATGGGACCTCTGATAATATCAATGGTCCTCTGATAATATGATTGGAGAATCCTTTGTGTACTTTTACTTTGTTGTGCCACAAATATGCGTGCCATCCGAATCTGGTATTGAAGCCTTCTAGATCTAACAGGTCAGTATTTTTTATGACAATCCATTCTTTAATCCAACAGAGGCATGAAGCCTTGTAGTACAGTTTCAGATTCGGTACCGCAAATCCTCCTCTTTCCCTTCTATCTGTAAGTAATTTGAATTTAATTCTAGGCCTTTTTCCCTGCCAAATGAATTTGGATAGAATTTTTTGCCAATCTTTAAAAACTGTGGTTCCCCTTATCACCGGAATATTTTGGAACAAAAATAGCAGCTTTGGAAGTATGTTCATCATAATTGCGGCCATTCTTCCTGACCATGATAATTTCATCCTGTTCCAGATATCTAGGTCCTTTTTGATTTCTTTCCAAGTAACTAAATAATTATCTGCCATTAAATTTATATTCTTCACAGTTAGCCAAATTCCTAAGTATTTTGCTTTTTTTACCGCCTTAATTCCAATTTGTACCTCTAACTGATTTTTCACAACTTCTTCGATGTTTTTAGTCATCATTTTAGTTTTTGATTTGTTTAACTTAAAACCCGATAACTTTCCAAATTCTTCTAATAATTCTATTACCCTGTGTACACTTTTTTGTGGATCTTCTAATGATAGCATCAAATCATCAGCATATGCTTTCAATTTATATTCTTTTCCCCCGATTTTAATTCCACGTACTTCTGGTGTTGTTCTTATCTTATTCGCGATAATTTCTAATACCATTATAAATAGAAGAGGAGACAGAGGGTATCCCTGTCTCGTGCCCTTTGAAATTTCAAAAGAGTCAGTTAAGTCATTATTGATTATTAATTTTGCTCTTTGGCTTGAGTAGATAGCTTTTATACCCTCCAAAAAGGAGCCCTCTATCCCTACTGTTTCCAAACATCCCAAAAGGAATTGCCAGGATACATTATCAAAAGCCTTTTCGGCATCAATAAAGATTATTGCTGCAGGGATATCATTTTTGCAGTCTAGATATTCAATAATATTTATTATGTGTCTTATATTATCTTTTAGTTGTCTATTGGGTAAAAATCCAACTTGGTCTGTATGAATAAGGTTTGTTAAGCATTTCTTGAGACGATTGGCCATTACTTCTGCGAATATTTTATAATCGTTATTTAATAATGATATTGGTCTATAATTTTTCATGTCCAACTTATCTGTATCTGGCTTAGATATCAATGTAATATAGGCTTCCTTCCATGAGTCTGGTGTTTTACCTCCTCTTAAGATGTTATTTGCTACTTCACATAGTACCGGGGCTAAGTATTCCTCTAAGACTTTATAGTATTTAGCAGATAAGCCTTCAGGCCCTGGAGCTTTTCCCAGTTTCATTTTTTTTATCGCCTCCTGGATTTCTTCCGTTTTTATAGGTTTATTTAATTGTATTTTCTCCTCTTCTGTTAATCCTTTCATTCTATTTTCTTCTAAGTACTTCTTTATTCCAATTATGTCTTCTTTTTTCCTTTTATATAGTTTTTCATAAAATTTAATAAAATTTTCCTTTATTCTCTTGGGGTCTTCTACAATTTGATCTTCTATTCTTATTTTATTGATCACATTTTGATTTTTACTTTTTCGTAGTTGCCACGCTAATAGTTTCCCAGTTTTGTTTGCTGATTCAAAATATTTTTGTTTCCATACCTTAATTCTCCATTCTACTTCTTGACCTATTAAAATTGAGTATTGCGTTTGAAGTATTCTGTAGGTTTGTTTTCTTTCGCATTCTCTTAATTGATTAAGTATTTCTTCTTCTTTTTTTCTTCTCTTAACTTTCCTGTAGCTATTCTGATTAATTAGGAATCCTTTTAGCACAGCCTTACTGGCATCCCAGACTGTATTAATATTTGTTTCTTTGTTCATATTCATGTCGAAATAATCTTTTAAAGTTCTTTTGGCCTTCTCAATTATCTCCTCATTTTCAAAAAGGAATTCATTCATTCTCCATCTGTATGTCCCTTGTATTCTACTTTTTAACTCCAAGGTTACTGAGCTGTGATCAGAAACGGTTCTAGGCTGGATTTCACATTTCACTGCTCTTGTTGTTAATTCTCTTGAAACCCATATTTGGTCCAACCTAGCCCAGCTTTGGTGTGATTCTGAAAAATGTGTAAATTGTTTTGTTATTGGATTTTTATGTCTCCAGATATCAATCAGATCTAAATTTTACACCAGATTATTAAATGTTCACAATGATGATAATTTTATTATTTTTGCCCTTCCCATCTGATTGGATTGCCCCAGCCACTCTGGGCAACTTCCAACAAATAGAAAAACGTAATAAAACATCAAACATTAAAAACTTCCCAATACAGAGGTGCCTTCAGAAGTCTTCTAAAAGTTGCATTGTTATTTCCTTGACATCTGTTGGGAGGGCATTCCACAGGGTGGGTGCCCCTACCAAGAAGGCCCCCTGCCTCGTCCCCTGTAACTTCTCACAATAATGTAACATTTAAGTACAGTGGTACTTCAGGTTAAGAACTTCATTCTTTCTGGATGTCCGCTCTTAAAATTTGTTTAGATTTATTACTGCATATTGTACAACTTAGCATATTGAATACAGTGGTTCCTCGGGTTAAGTACTTAATTCATTCCTGAGGTCTGTTCTTAACCTGAAACTGTTTTGAACCTGAAGCACCACTTTGGCTAATGGGGTCTCCTGCTGCGCCGCTGGGGCATGATTTCTGTTCTTATCCTGAAGCAAAGTTCTTAAACTAAAGCATTCTTTCTGAGTTAGCAGAGTCTGTAACCTGAAGCGTATGTAACCCGAGGTACCACTGTATATCTTAATTTTGGACAGGGAACTTTCCCGCTTTGGCCACCTTTTAAATAATAATAAAAGCACATTTTATTTATGAAGATAGTACAGACCCATATTTAAATTTAAACAAAATGATGTTTAAAAGTAAGCTGTACTTTTAAAAACTAGAGAGAGAAAACATCTAATATTCAACTTGATTTGTATACGAAACTAGACAATTTTACAGAACAAAAGGAACATTATAACATCTAACTCCCTTCAGTTCTTCCTCTGTCCCAAGCATTAATTAGCATTGTTCCATAATTTGGGGCTGCACTTCTTCCCGAGACTCTAATCCGTTTGCCTCTTAGTTTCAGGTGGGGATGAATTGGAAATGAAGAACAAGGGAGACCACAACGAAATCCACACAGTGGAGGAGCCATATCAGGATTCAGACTGTGGAGAGAGCTTCAGTCAGAGCTCCCATTCCATTTCCCATCAAAGAAATCCCCTTGAGAAGAAACACTATCAGTGCTTGGAATGTGGAAAGAGATTCAAACGGAGTGCCCATCTCACTTCCCATCAAAGGATTCATACAGGGGAGAAACCATATCACTGCTTGGAGTGTGGAAAGAGCTTCAGTCACAGCCACGATCTTACTTCCCATCGTAGAATTCATACAGGAGAGAAACCCTATCAGTGCTTAGAATGTGGAAAAAGCTTCAATCAGAGGGCCCATCTCACGTCCCATCAAAGGATTCATACAGGGGAGAAACCCTTTCAGTGCGTGGAATGTGGAAAAAGCTTCAGTCAGGGCTCCAATCTCACTGCCCACCGTAGAATTCATACAGGGGAGAAACCATATCACTGCTGGGAGTGTGGAAAGAGCTTCAGTCAAAGCCACAATCTCACTTGCCATCGTAAAATTCATACAGGGGAGAAACCATATCACTGCTTCAGTCACAGCCACGATCTCACTTCCCATCGTAGAATTCATACAGGGGAAAAACGCTATCAGTGCGTGGAATGTGGAAAGAGATTCAGAAATTGCTCAGATCTCACTTCCCATCGTAGAATTCATACAGGGGAGAAACCCTATCAGTGCTTGGAGTGTGGAAAGAGCTTCAGCTGGAAACAGAGTTTTGCTTTCCATAAAAAAATACATACAGGGGAGAAACCGTATCAGTGCATGGAATGTGGAAAGAGCTTCAGTCAAAACCGCAGTTTCGCTTCCCATCTAAGAATTCATACAGGGGAGAAACCCTTTCAGTGTCTGGTATGTGGAAAGAGCTTCACCAGGAAAGAAAGTCTCACATCCCATCACAAAATCCATACAGGGGAGAAATCCTAACAGTGCGTGGAATGAGGAAAGAGCTTCAGTCAAAGCAACAATCTCATTTCCCATCAGAGAATTCACACAGGGTAGAAACTATTTCAGTGCCAAGAGTGTGATCGGAGGGATTTATGAAAGTCTTGTCTCATTTTTAAAGTTCTTAACACAATTGGAGCTCTTAAAAGGACTTAGAGCTCCCTGAAAAAGCTAAAATCAAGACAGGTTTGGACAAGTTTGTTTCTCTTTGAAGGAAAATATTTCTTCTACTCTGAGCCACTTAAAGAGAATTGGATTGAAGACAAACACTCTTGTCTGGACACCTAAATTGCTATGTATTCTTGAACACATTCTTTTTTTCTTTTTTATGATTCCTCTCTTAAAGTAATTATTTGGTTTATTTGTTTTATTCGAATCTTAATTTGAGAAATTGGATTTTATGTTAAACAGCTTATGTGTGTTGGGGATCAGGCTGGAAGGAAGAGGGAGGGCTGGAAAAATCAGGAAACAGGATCTCTTAGGAAAGAGTTATTCTGTGACCTTGACAAACTGATAAGGTGCTGCTGGAAAATAGGCTTCTTTGAGAACAAGGGAGAGGGAGATTTTGAATATGGCAGTTCAAAAACAGTTAACACCAGGCCTGTGTTAAATTTGGAGAAGCTATTAGCCCGAATTGATAAAAATCATTAAATGGTGACAAATTTGACCACTAAAGTAGAGACACTGACAAAGAAAACAGAAGCACTAGATATCTCCATGAAAGGAAGGGAAGAGAAGTCTGAAAAGCTGGAAGACAAAAAATGGAAATCAGAACAGGAGACGCTTAGGATTGATGTGGACGGTTTGGGTGGAAGATAAGAGGCAATTGCGGGCGCTTTGGCGGTTCTTGAGATGAGACAGAAAGCCCAGCCTCTGAGACGGAGAGGAGGGAGGAGAGCAGGATTTTAGCAAAGGTTAGAGCAGAGTGGCTGGGAGTGGAATTAGACTGGCTTGTGGAGCAAGGAGTGCTCAAGCCGGTGCCTAATGCCCCCTGAGAAACCCCAGTCATCACACCTGTCAAGCCCAATGGCTCAGTCCACATCTGCGCAGACTACAAATGTATCATAAACAAGGCCCTTATGGCTCATGCATATCCGGTGCCAATGGTCAGCCATGTCCTCGCTACCCTGGTGGGGTCTAAGAGTCCACCTGATCGGGGACAAGGTGAGGGCTATTTGCGACGCCCCTGCACCTAAGGGTAAGGCAGAACTCCAAGCCTTCTTGGGACTATTGAACTTCCAGATGATTCCTGGGGGGAAACTGCAAGGAGGGCTGGAGAGAGGAATCCCAAGGGGATAGCAGAAGGGTGAGGCCCATAGAGCAGGAGGAGTGGGTAAGGGAGGCAGAACTGGGAAGTCCAGAAGTGACCGAGGCTGAGCAGCGTCCAACCCAACGATCCCATCACAGCCGGCAGCCCTGGAACAAGAGCCAGAACCAGGAACCCCTGCCGAGAGACACCCAAGACCACAACGCATACATAGGTGACCCGCATACATCAATGACTAGGAATGCTAACCTCTGGGTGCAATGGGAACAGCCTGAGGTTTGGGGAGCAATTAAATCACTGTTTTACAAGCTGCAATAAAGAGCATGAAATCACTACAGGACTCCTGAGTAGATTTCAGAGAATCTAATGCATCTTTGGTTGGGATTGTCCAGCAAGGAGATTGGAGATGGTTGCCAGTCAAAGGGTAGTTTAAGACGCGGGGGGGGGAAGACCTCCTTGTGAAAGGGGGGGGCAGTTTTGTTAGACATTCCAGAAGAGGAATCCTGGAAGAGGACACTCCAGGCTCATCTGGTCCAACCCCTGCCATTCAGGAACCCCGGTTCTTAGTCCCGCCAGCTCCCTTGAACTGGGCAACTCAGATGCCTGGAGCAGCGCCCCATTGGAGAGCAGCCTTGGGTCGCCTCTGGAGCTGGCTGGACCTTTTGGACGGCTGTTTCCATCTCCTCTGCCTTCTGCTGGCAGGCCCGGTTGGGAGTTGTAGTCCAAAGCCCATTGAGGGGGGCTGGTTCTGGAGGTGGTTTTCAAGTTGGAACTATGTTTTGACCCTTTGCCGAAAGGAGATGCCACAAAGTGTGTGCGTGTCGGGAGGGTGTCTTTTCAGTGCCAGGATACAAGGTGCTCTCTTGACCTGGGAGCCCAATCCCTCTCCCCCACCCCTAGAAAAGGGGGTCTTCCCCTCATCCTCTCCTTGCAGGACCCCCTTTTCCTTCCTCTTTGTTCAGAGAGTCAGAACCAACTCTCTCTCAAGGGACCCTGGAGCCAAACACTTGCAGAGTTTTACTTCTCAAGCAAAGGGTGGGAAGGAATACATTCTTGTTGCTCTTGAGATGTACAGAAATGTGTTCCCCGCGGAGGGAGAAGCTTGCCAGGCCCCCAAAGTCCCCCGATGGAGCAGCTCTGCACCTGCTCCACGCCTGGGGCTCCTCCGCAGGCAGAGAGGGACCAGCAAAAGGGTTAAGTGGCACCAAGCTGGCTTCCTAGAGAGGAAGAAGAAGAAGAAGAAGAGTTTGGATTTGATATCCCGCCTTTCACTCCCCTTCAGGAGTCTCAAAGCGGCTGACATTCTCCTTTCCCTTCCTCCCCCACAACAGACACTCTGTGAGGTGAGTGAGGCTGAGAGACTTGAGAGAAGCATGACTGGCCCAAGGTCACCCAGCAGCTGCATGTGGAGGAGCGGAGACGCGAACCCGGTTACCCAGATTACGTGACTACCGCTCTTAACCACTACACCACACTGGAATAAAGGGAGGAAGCTCCCCAGAGCGCAAGCTCCGCCCCCATCCGGGCTTTTGTCTCTCTGCTCCACAAGTGCTGCCTGGGGGCGCCTTCTGGGATCCGGTGAGTTGCCTTGGGGAGATGGGGGGTCCCAGGGCTGCAGGGGAGGGTCCCCCAAAGAAGACCCCTCTGGGGCCCTGGCTCCTGAGAGAGAGAGAGAGAAGGGAGCAGGGCGAGCTCCGCTTTGCAAGGGCTCAGAAGAACAGCCACGAGGGCCAGGGAGTCATGATGAGGGACCCCCAAAGTCATCTAGCCCATCCCCAGCCAGCCAGGAATCTTCTGCCCAGCCTGGGGCTCGAACCCAGGGGCCTGAGATCAAAGAGACTCATGCTCTACCCACTGAGCTCTGCTGCCATTTCTGGAAGAGTCTGAGAGACAGAATGTGAGCTTGGTTTTCTCCACCTTGCAAGGGTTAAAAGGAACTGAGCTGCATTCCTAGAGAGGACAGGGAATAAGGGGGGGGAATGAGGTCCTCCTGAGCAAATGCCCCTCCCTCCTTCCCAGGATCCTCCCTGCAAGAGGGGGAGGGGGCTTTCATTTCCTCTGCAGGAGCTGCCTCAGTTTCCCTTCTGGCATCTGGTGAGTTTCCTCTCTTTTCTGCCCTAGGGTGCATTGGGGAGAAGGGGGGTGGGGTGTCCCAGGGCTGCAGGGGACGGATCCGTGGGGATTCTGCTCAGCTCCTGCAAGGGGATCCCCAAGCCAGGGCTAAGAGGTTCTGCCCCCCCTTCTCTCTGCAAAGCCAGGGAGGCTGCAAGTAACAGGAGGTCTGCAACTCTTCTCTTGCTCCTTAGGGGAGGGGTCACTGTTGGCATCAGGCTGCAAGAAGCTCAGGGCAGCACCCGGACAACGTCCCTGCCGTGCGTCTTGATCAATCAGAAAAGAACATGGAGAAGTGGCAGGTTGGGGCACCTAGGAGAATATCCTACACCCGCCCTAACTGTGGTCTAGCGGACAGACTAAGAGCCCTGGAGCTGGAGGAGGGAGACCTGGGCCCAGTTCCCCCCATGGCTAGGAGCTTTGGAGGGAGGTGGGGAAGATGGGGAGTGAGAGGAGCTGGTTCTGGGTGGAAACATCCACTCTGAGGAAAAGATCACCAGCTTGAGAAAGGAGTCTCTGAGCTTAGTGGGAAGGACAGTGTGTGGTGTCCTGGGAGAGTAATTCAGGCCAGGAATGAACTGGGAGGCTGAGCCAGGAGGAGGAGCAGCTGGAAAGAGACCGGCTGCTGAGCTCTCATCCCAGTCAGGAGGGGAGAGATCCTTCTAGAAAGAGAAGACTCCCAAACCAGAGATCCCTTGGGTCTTTGGCTTGGGTACCTCGGGAGTAGGGTGACTGGCAGAAAGTGCCACCTTGTTAAGAGCCAAAGTCTTAAGTGTGAAACAACTGAGCAAACCTTGAAGAGAAATAACATTGTAAACTGAGGTATCCTAAGTTTTATCCACTCGTGTTATAAACCTCCTTGTTAAATAAAATCGTTAATGTTTATTTGAAGAAATCTTGCCTGAGACTCCCAATTAGTAAGTTTTACCTCACGCGAGTCCCCCACAAGATAATCTGAGGTAGTTGGAGGGCATTTGTGGAAATTGTGTTCTGTGAGGTGGGTGCACTATATTTAAGAGAGAGAACGGGCCCAAGGGTGCCGGGGGGGGGGGAAGACCCCTTGCGTCGTCGCATATTAATTGGGGGCAGAGGTGGCATAGGAATTTAAAACCCACACAGATCCTATTTAGTTTTGAGCCGACTGGCAGACTTAAACATTCATGAGGAAAACTGGATGCTGCACTTACGCCCACAGATATGTGGAATATTGAGTGAAATATACTCAGATCTCAGAGAGGATGAAACCTCTGATTCCCTCACATTTAAAGAGAGAGTGAAAGTGCACTTTGGACTGAGTGCAGAACAAAGCCAAAAAGCCTTTCGTGAAATTAAAAGGAAACCAGGAGAGACTTAGGCCCAACTGGGTAGCCGAATTGACCAAGCTCTGGACAGATGGGAGGAAAGTGAGATGAGCTCAAACAGCTCATCAGTTTAGAGGAATGTTTTCAAGAGGTTCCTGCTCATTTAGGCTGAAAAGAGTAACTGAAGTCTCTACCTTGGGAGATGAAATGAAAGGAGACTCAGGGGGAGCAGTAATACTCTGTCCCTTCCAGAAAAAGCAACCCAGGGAGGAAGTGGGGTCTCAAAACGACAGCCCTGAAGGGCGGGCCCAAGGGTGCCGGGGGGAAAAGAGCCGTGATACGAAGTAAAAACCCACACAGAAACGTACCCAGAGACACAGAACAACCAGTTTAATACAGGAGTGAAGTTCTTTGACTAAAAAGAGAGAAAATTCCTGTCAGAAAATGACCAGCAAGCGCCAAGCCAAAGAGACTCAGGATGACCCAGCTGCTGCGTCTGAGGAGAATCCTAATATATTGAGTTAGAGATGATGAGGCTAAGATTGGAATTGTCTAAGGTTGAAGGAGAGAAAGAAAGAGAAGAGGCCAGAATGGCAGCTGCCCTTCATCTAGCAGAGATACAGGCAGAGAGAGAGAGAGAGAGAGAGGGAGAGAGAGAGAGATGAGCCCAAGAAGAAAGAGACATGTTTCCTTTAAAAATGGAGGAGATTCAGGCGAGGGCAGAACTGCCGCAAGCAATGTTGGGGGTGGAGATTTTGCCTCAGCAAATGTAAAGTATGTACAGTGGTACCTCAGGTTACAGGTTACATGTCATAAACTTCCTTGTTAAATAAAATCATTAATGTTTATTTGAAGAAATCTTGCCTGAGACTCCCAATTAGTGAGTTTTACCTCACGCAAGTCACCCACAAGATAATCTGAGGTAGTTGGAGGGCATTTGTGGGAATTGTGTTCTGTGAGGTGGGTGCACTATATTTAAGAGAGAGAACGGGCCCAAGGCTGCCAGGGGGAAAAGACCCCTTGCATTGTCGCATATTAATTGGGGGCAGAGGTGGGATATGAAGGTAAAACCCACACAGATCCTATTTAGTTTGAGCGGACTGGCAGACTTAAACATTCATGAGGAAAACTG